CTGACTTTTACCAGAGTACAACAGTTGCTAAAGTTTGAAATCCCCAGAAAAGACAAATTACAGGAAGGGACAGACTGAACCTCCTGACTTTTACAACAGTTGCTAAAGTTTGAAATCCCCAGAAAAGACAAATTACAGGAAGGGACAGACTGAACCTCCTGACTTTTACAACAGTTGCTAAAGTTTGAAATCCCCAGAAAAGACAAACTCCCCCAAATATGACACATCCAGCGCCGAGCAGGGCACGGAGCTGGGCACCTGCAGGGGTCACAGTGGGACCTGCAATTCCTCCAAAGCCCTGGAACACATCCCAGCAGTATTTACTGCCTGCATCTTGCTTACAGCCATCACAGGAAGCAGGAAAATCTCTTACCACTGGGGTTAAAGGCCATGCAGCAAATGGGCTTCTCGTGGGCAGGGAAATGGGCCACGATGCCGTCGCTGTCCGAGTCCTCGCTCACCAGCACCTGGAACAGGGACAGAGCCAGGGGTCAGCAGGGAGGAACACACCTGAGGGAAAAAGCCACCTTACTGCCACAGGGATCGGTTTATGAGATGTCCAGAGTGGTGCAATTCCCAATAAAACTGCAATATATAACATATATAACAAGTCACATATAACAATATAACACAATCCTCTGGAGTTTTTTCACGTAGACATGAGACTGCTCCAATAACTAGTGAGGATTATGGTTGTTATACCTGATTTCCTATTCACTTGTCCTATTCAAACAGGACAAAACAGTGAAATATTCCTGTTTTGCTCCATGATTTATTCCTGCCTGTGCAGCAGCTCGTTCCAACAGGACTCTTTGTGCTGTGCAGGAAGAGATATTTGAGGTTTCCACTTCCCTTGGCTGAAGCAAAAGGGCTGGGACCTCTCTGGATGCCCATAATGGAGGGGTCTATTGCCCCTAAATTTGTGAGGGAACTCTGCTGCTCCTCCAGCTCTCCCACAGCAGGAGCTCCCATCCCACCAGGCTCCCTGGAATCACAGAAGGAGGATCACTGGAATTCCACTGGAGAGGGCACAGAGTTCTTTAAACACATGATTTTCTGTAGGCAACAACAGGAGTCACATAATAGAAGGGAAAACAAGAGGCAGCACAGAGACTTTTAAAGAAAAGGGGATATTTAATCCTTAAATAAACCAGATTTTTCTCTGGGAGGATTCAAAGCACACAGGGCAAGTGAGTGGAAAACCAGACCAAAACCCCCAAAAGAGTGGGTTTGCTTTCCATCAGTCCCACAGGTGGGAACACTAGAGGGATCTGCATTTCCAATGGATGCAAGAAATGCCAAGGGCTGGGAATGTGGATGGAAGCAGCTGCACTGGAAATAGCAGCTAACAGGAGTTTTCTCTGTCCTGAAACTGCCTCAGTGAACACCAGATAAAATGATTACAAGGAGTTGTTCATCAAAACCCCTTTAAAAAAAATCATGCTCTCATAAAATACCTTCCTGTGAACAAAAAAAGGAATTAAAAGATAGGAGAGAGTTTTCACAAGAGTGGGAAATTCAGTGGAAAATACCTGGACTGGGATCAGTGTTGTTCAACATCTTCCAGAGAAAAGGACAAAGGGTGAGCTTTTGGAGTTTTTAAACAAAAGCCAATTTGAAGCTGAAAAAACTCCTGGGCCAGTCAAAACTGAAGCTGACTGTGAGGACATCGAAAGGGACACCCAAAGGGACACATACCAATGTCTCACTGAATGAAAAGCAAAGACATTCTTAGATTTATAGAAAAGAACCGAAATTTCTGTGGGCACAACACATGCAAGAGCTGCAGGGGTATTTTATTCCTTGATTACATCGTTTTCAAGACTAAATTAAGCAAAACAAAGGGAAAGATCTGTCAGAGAAGGGCTTAAAAAGGGGGGTTCTGTGGCGAGCAAAAACCACCTCCTTAACCAGACGCTGCAATAATTTGTCTGCCGCTTCCAAAACAATCTGAAGGTTTTTAATACTTCCTATCCCGAGCAGATATCGAAATGATTCGGGGATATTTTTATGCTTCAAAAAGAGGGGCTCATCTTTAAGTGTTTAAGGCAGTCACGTAACGGGGCCGGAGAGTCGGCCCTGCCTGGCTCTGGCTGCTCAGCTGCCTTGGCACTGTCACCCCACACAATTATGGCTTTTGCTTCCCCCTCGTCAGCACTTCGTGCTCGCTCCAGAACCACGAAACCAAAAGGTCTGGAGATCTTCCGAAGGGCTCTTCAAAGAGAGCCTCTCTTCTCCCCTCAGCCTGCAGCAAACTGCAGCCTGACTCCCACACATCATCCCCTCACAGCCTCAGCGTTTTGCTCAAATTATAAACCAACACCGAGAAATAAAAATATTTAATCTAGAAACGTGTAGGGATCAACAGCACCTAAATCACTGCTCAAAACCAGCTTTACGGGATAATTCACGTGCAGGCTGGGAACTGGATTCATTCGACGTGGCTTTATTTTAAGAAAAAATAAAAGTGATAAATGCACTGCTGTTATCACCCCCTGTCCAGCAGACAGGGGAAGATTCCTCCTTTTACTCTGCATGGTAAGAGGATCTTTAAATATTTTTCCTCTGGAAATACGATACAAAGCAAAAATGCCACAACATTAAAAGTTGTCAGACACCTCAGTTACACCACTCTGAGAATACAACAAAGCCCAAATCTATATCTGTAGGAAATGTTAACAGATTCCATGCTTTTTCTGCCAATCACTGCTTAAAATTATCTTCCTGAAAAAGAAACACTCCAAAAAGGAATTTTTAAAAATCTCCACTTTTCACTGTAAAAGTTGATTTACAGGTCCAGCAAAACCAGCCCTTATGAGGAGCTTTCAGATTTAAACTCAAATGTGTTCATCTCCTGCTCTGGCCAAGTAAATTAGGAAAATATATTTAAAAAAAAAAAATCACAAAAGCACCTTCATTACTCAAAAATGTGGAAATCCTTGGAGAATGTGACACTCAGGGCAGTGATGGTGCCACCCCACACCCTCTGTGGACACTTGATCTGTGTCCCTGCCCAGGACTGACCACAGGATGGACAATCTGGCTTTGGAAACACACATGGAAACAGCACTTGCTGTTTCAGAACACTGAAAAAAATGTTCTTCATCTTTTTCAAATCAGCAGGAAAACGTTTTAGGAACAGAGAAAAAGCATTTTGCTTAAAATCAATGATTTCTATTTAAGTTTTCAGGATTTGTCACATCCTTCCCCTGCCCTCCTGCACAGTTGGGGAAAACACATGTCCCTTTTTACAGTTCCAACATTACAAAGGAAGGAGGTAAAAAATAAAATCCAAGGGATTAGATTTAACATCATCAGCCAAAGAGCCTCTTTGGGAATGTCCCTCCCTAAGATGCCACCAACCCAAAGCCTGGTTCCCATCCCAGGTCAGAGCTTGCACAGCTTTAAATCCCAGGGTGATTTTCCCCTTTTAATACAACCTAAGGAAGTCAAAATTATGCTGATGGCACACATGATGCCTTAGGAATAGATTATTTTCTGTATTAGAGATCTTTATATGGATTTAAGTGCCTCAGTACAGCAGGGTTTGTATCGAGTTGGATGGATCGAATTGCACAGATTTCGGGTGGACAAGGATGAAACTGGAACTGTGCAACAATTAAAAATCATCCCAGGCCTCTGTCACACAAATGTCACAGATTTTAGAGCCACTCCTGGCAGAGCTGAAGTGGAAGATGCTGCTGGAGGGACTGCAGGGTAACAAATGGCCCCTCAAATCAACACCCACATCGTCCCACGGGCTCCTTTCAACCAGCTGATGGTTTCTTCCCACTGCAAACAGCAGAGCTGGAGATTTTTCCTGGAAATCACAACAGTGGGACAATTTCCCTAATAACACACCCAAGTGCTGTGGGGGAGCTCGAGGGAAGCAGCTCATTCGCGCTCCCAGAGCTGACAGAGCCCACAGGAATCCCCAGCCTGCAATTTTTTTCGTGCCAACCAGGCTTCGTTCTCCAAGGTGGTGGCCTCTAACCACCCTACTATTAGGAGTAAAAGGCCTTACAAAGTCTCTCACTGGGAAAGGTTCATAAATCTGAGCATTACTCACTCACTGAGGCTCCTCAGGGTGCTCGAGGACCTTCCCTGCAGAGCTGGCAAAAAACAACTGAGGAGAAACGAACGCTCGGACTGTTCCACCCAGACACCCTCGCAAATAAATGAGCACTTGTACTAAATGTAACAAAGGAATAAACGTAATAAACTGTAATAAACTGATGCCCAAACAGGGTTTTACCAAGAGAGTTGCAACAAGATTTTCCAAAGAGCTGCCCAGGACAGAGCCCGTGGCCGGACACGCCGAGCCAAGGCCGCGGCTCCCAAAGCAGCTCCAACAGAACACAGAGAAGGGTCATCAAACCCTCTTTATCTCACTCAAAAATGAAGAGACAGAACACCAAGGGCATTGTTACATTTACTACCAGCCACCAGTGTCTGCTTTGAGGGCTGAAGCTGCAGCTTTTTCCTCCTATGCCATATTTTTCTTCATCCGCCGTATTTTCCGTCCTGCTCAACAGAAGCCACCAGTAATTATGACTCCAATTATTTTAATCTTTAAAGGCAAATTACACCACTTATCCCAGTGGACACATGTTTTTAAATAAAACATGAAAGTAACACAAGTAAAAAATGGGCCCAAATCTAATCAAGCCGGTCCTACTCTTAATACAATTAAGAAAGAGTAATCCCATCATCATAAAAACGAATAGCTTTGGCAATAATTATAAATATGAATATTATATCATAAAGATATCTTGGCTGATGAGATCTGCAATGGCTTAAATAGCTGAAGGTAGGGTTCCTACCCACAAACACCGACCCCCTCAGCCTCCCCCAACTTACAGCCAAGGTCAGACATCAGTGGAAAGGGGCTAAAAGTGATAGATCTGTGGCATTAAACTACTGCTCTCCTTTTAATAGAATCCAGCATAAACTCAAACCAGCCCCGTGCTCAGCCTGAACCATTTATCTGAGACAAAAATGTCTTCTTGACAAAAACCAGATCTCCTTTAATAAAAGTGAGGCAGACAGTATTATGCTCCCAGGGAATCCTGGTGCTCTTTTTTATATTTACATATAAAAAGAATTCTTCTGTAATACACAGACACATAAAAAGTGAAGAAAATCGAGGCTAAATGTCTGAGCAAGAGAACATCAGGTCAGGTTTTGTGAGAGCTGCTCCCAAAATAAAAGCCCTGGTGTTAATGACCAGTGGAATTATGTCCACAGTTAAAGTTTTATTATGGAATATGCTCTATTCTTTGAGCTTCTCCCTGCTTCAGACCAAAGTTTCCCAACAATTCCTGCTCCTGATAAGCATCTTGATTTGGTTCAATTGCCATCAACTCCTCACCAAATGAAAATGAACTTTTGAAACTGCAGCGGCCAGCTGGTTGTTGTTGTTTTTTTTTCCCCTGAAAATTCCTCTTTAATGCAATAAAAAGTTAATAGGGAACAGGGAGGGGAAAAAAAAAAAAAAAAGCCCCAATCACATTTTAAAACATAAACAGATCAACATGTTATCTTCTTCTCCTGAGTTATTTTGCAAATATTGCCCCAAACCCTCGCCTGGGTCGGGGATGAGCCGCTCGGCGGTGGCTCATCCATCGCCGGGTCCTGTATTTTGGAAGGGCCACATCATTTCTCTGTCAACCCACTGCTGGATGTTGAACAGATTTTACATTCAAGCCCCCAAAAAACTGGCGACTTTTCGAGCAGGGTGGTTATTGCAGCCTGCACGTGGGTGGCCCAGTGGATGAATTAATTAAAATACAGAAACAAAGGTCGAAGGGAAAATAATTTTTTTGCTTTCAAAGCCCGAGCCAATAAAGTCTCACACATTTAATTCCAATTACTGAAAAAAAAAAAAAGAGGACATTTGTAGGGCTTTAGTTTTAGCCATTTCAACTAATTAACAGATTCAAATAAATAGTGGTTTCATCCAACTGAAAAGTTTGCTAACACTTCATTAGAAGGAAGTTTAAACAAGCACACAACCTTGTTAACATACTTTGGTTTACCACAAAGTTACTTGGGCATCTCGATAATTATTTTTATTCCTTTTACAAATATCTCATGACAGCCAACGTCAATAATTCTGCATTCCTCTGCATTTATTTAATGACCTCATAATTCAAATTTTCTTAAAGTATCGCCAATTATGAAAGTAGGAGCTATCACATAAACAACTGCTGGGGATGGGAGTTTACTACAATATCTACATTCATCAGGTTCATTAAAAATATTTCCCCATATTTAATCTTGGGAGATTCCACAAGGAGACTTCTCTGGTCTCTAACTGTGTATTTTTCAGTGGTGAGTTTGCATTTCACCCCCCGTGCAGTGCACGGAACACATCGAGTTCCACCTCACATTCCTCATATTTGATGTCTTTGAAATGGGAGAAATAACAAAAAAATTAGTGAAAACTTAAAGCTGCAAATAGTCCCTCTGGCTTGTAACCAAAATATGTTTCCTAATCGTCCTACTGGCAAATAAATTGCTGTATTTGCACAGAGCAGCTCAGTCCATCTTTAAAACCTGTGCTGTTGTGCTCAAAGGAACTGGACAAGCACTTGCCCAATTAATTTGCAAGCCTTTAAATACATTTATTTTTTTAAAAATCCTGCTTCCCCACTGAAAAAAAGCGGTTATTTTTCCTCCAAAATGATGTGCTTGCCTGCCTTAGGTTTACTTTCTCTTTTTTAAATCAGATTTCTTCCTTTCTCTTTTTTTACCACAGGTTATCTTAAAGATGTATTTATAACTTGGAAATTGTTTTATTTCACTGCAACACCCAAGTTCTCAGTTAGGCTGTGCAGGTCGATGGAAATCTTTATGGGCCTGAAGGAGAGGAGGGATTTATTTAATGATAAGAAAATAACTCCTTCCTGCTTCTGAAATTCCCCTCGGGTACAACCAGGCTGACACCCCCCCTGGAAACCATGGAAGCACCCACAAATCCACACTGATGGAGGGGATGCAAGGCTTTCCAAGGGCTAATTCAGCCCAGGAAGCACTTGGCTGGCATTCCTAATTTGGGGGTTCCCAATGAGTGCAGGGAGAGCAAAGTCTGTGATGGACACAGTGATGAAACACCCCCAGAACAGGCACAAGGAAAGAGGAATGCTGCTGTTTGTTTGGTCCCACCCAGACCTGTTATTCCCTGAAATCTGAAAACTGGGATGACAAGACAAGGGGAAAAAAAGAAAATCTCTTCAGTGAAAGAGTGGCCAAGCAGTGGAAGGGAAGTGGAGTCACCACCCCTGGGAGTGTCCAAAAAACGAGCGGACGTGGCACTTCATGGGATGGGGGGATTAGATCAAAGGTTGGACTTGATGATCCATCAGGTCTTTTCCAACCTTAATGATTCTGTGATTCCATAAACCAATAACTTTGGAAAAAGCCACTGCATCAGGAAAACAGGGAGTGACCCATGCGAGGCTGGACGGCGGCGGCTCTCCCCAAAACTCCGGTTTTCTCCCCAAAACCTGTTCCATCCCCTGCCCTGCCAGCCACAGGCTGGGCACAGGTACTCTGGGTGACCACTGCCAGCAAGCAGATTGGCCCCAGAAGAGCAGAATAATGTCAGAAGTTCACAGAATGAGGGATAAGCTGTGGAGCAGCAGGAATCAGCTGGATGCTCCACCACCAGCAGCAGTCCCAGGTAGCTCAGGGAGGTCCTCGCCCGGTTTAAAGGTCAGATGTGCTAAAACACCCCCCTGAACTGAAGCTTCACTCGATTCTGCCATAAAAACCAGCCAGGACTACCCAGCCAGTCCAAACACGTGCCACCTGCCCTGGCCTGGCACTCCTTGCCCAGCACACAGCACCAGATCCCTGCCAGGCTCCTCGGGGAACACCCAAAATCAGGCTCCAGCACATCCCCAAGTGCACAAAAACTTACATTTCCCCTGGAAATAGAGCTGGAGGGACAGGGAAGAGCTCAGTGGGGACTGGGATCAGCCAGGACACTCTTCATGTGAGGAGGTTCTGTGCTGGGGCCGTGGGGAACGACCAAGTACAGTTATTTTTAATCAACTTTCCTTTTGCTAGAAGCACATTTGAGCAAGAAAAGACTGTTAAAAAGTCTCCTGCACAGTGAAAAATCTAACATTGCAAAAGAAAGGTTATTGTCATTCCCTGGAAAGAAACACAATGCTAATGCTGAAAGCAAATCCCAGCACTGAAAATAATAATCTGACAGATTTAAAACAATAATAATAATAATAATAATAATAATAATAATAATAATAATAATAATAATAATAATAATAAATCTGTCCTATTTAAAATTAAAATAATATTATTGATAATAATTAAAACAATAATAATTTTATTAAAATAATAATCTGACAGATTTAAAACTTCAGCTCACAAAAATATGAATGCAGCACACACAAACAATTAGGACATCCAACTTGGAGCCTCCTTCCCCAGAGATCCAAGGCAAAAATGATTTTCCTAGAACTGATGGCTTATTTATGTTAGAGCAGCAGTATTTGGACAAGGCAAACGTTATCATTTTTACAACTACTCTCCTATAGTGCCCTTTAGGCTTGAGAGCTCCCTACTATTGTTAAGGTCAGAGGACAAGTTCATAAAACCTCTAAATCATACATAACAAGACTTAAAACCCTAAGATCTATCATTTTTTTTCCCCCAGGCCTGTGCAGAAGAATCAAAGCACAGACAACGAGGGGCAGGAATAATGACCACATTAAAAAGGCTTCATCAGAAATTTATGAAGGAAAATTCTTCTTTTTTTTTCCCCTGGTTGTATATGAAGAGCCAAAAGACCTTTGTTTTTTTCCCCTGGAAACAAAAACAAACCCCAACAGCCAACAGAATTATTTTAAGACCTGACTCTTAAGATCTTAAGTAAATAAATTCTTTTTCCATCCTCTTTCTTTCTTGTCTTTCATTTCGATTTCGGAAGAAAAGGCCTATAATGTTTTATGAACAATCCCCTTTCAATGAAACATTGCTTGGCTAAATACTTCCAAAACCAATTCTCAGGAACAAGCACAACAGAGTTTTTTCTTTGTTTTGTTTCTTTTCAAGTAAAACATTTTATTTTCCCACCATGTCAACCTGACTACTGATGTGTCCTTAATACCTCACCTGCAATGAGCACCATAAATACAGGGGGAAACAAGAAAAAAATAAAGGCTTTGTCTTTTTGAATTCAATAAATGGGACCACGAGGAAAAAAAAGTATTACCAGTTACAGAATAATGGAGTGTGTGGGAGTTCTGCATAAACACTGGATCCAGGACCAAAAATTAAATGAGAGAACAAAACAAGGAAGGACACGGAAATCTTCTCTGCCCTAAAGACAGTAAAATACACCCATTTATAGTGGGTGTGATAATGGTATGGATTTTGTAACAAATGGTTTTGCCTGATGCACTGTATGTATATTATTACATAAATTTATTATATTCTTGGTAAAACAGTGCAAATGCCTCACAAAACAGCTGTGTGGTAGCCTTGAGATTTCTATAAAATTATAAGCTTTTACAATAAACTCCACACAGCATCTTTTTTTCACCTGGAATTCAACAGTTCTCTGCATTTTCTAGACCATCACGTTTTCACATTAACAAATATAATCAGGCTCCATCTCCACCTCGGCTGATCAGCATCAATCAGTGCCAATTAGGAACAAGTGTCTGAGAGACAAAATGTGACACTTCACACTCTGCCCCGTCAAAGTGTCACATAAATACCCTGGAAGGACGATATTTATATATTTTGGCTTCCTTTCAGCCCCAAGCAGGACTTTATCTCAGCGCTGCGGGACCGGAACGAGCACAAAAAAAAATCCGATTTATTTTTCATTTTCAACGGCGTTTTGGTGAGGTTTCAGTGCAAATGCAGGTCCTGCCTGTGTGCAGACATTACCTGTCCCTCTGCCACCGTCTCGGTGTCGATGATGGTGACGATCCCGGGCACCAGAGGGCTCCGGCGGAGGTTGCTGTGAGCCAAAATCTCCTCCTCGGTGGCTCCCGACGGCAGCGTCCCCGTGAGCTGAGTGACCACCTTCCCAACCATGGTCAGCCCCGTCTTTATCGTCTGCCAAGAGGAAAACACCCAATAAATGACATTTTAGGGCCGCGTGGTGGATTTATCTGCGGTGTTTTCTGCACGTGATGTATCGGCTGCAAAGGGCTGGAGAAGGAACAGCTTGAAAAAATTTCACCTCGGGTTTGGAATTCAATTATTCCAAAGCATTCTTCAGGAAAAAAAAAAAAAAAAGAGTATTTTAACGTTTAAACGATTTTTAATATTTTAAGTATTTCGGCTTTTAGTTTCTTTAATTTGGTTTTGACTTCTTTCAAGAGCCTGGGAAGGATTAAATGATGAGGCCAAGCTGGGTGTGTAGGAGGGCAGAGCTCACACAAAAACACCCTGAGATGCTGATCCTGACAGAGTTTTGTCTCCTGCACAGTGCAAGAGATGGGATTTGGCCTTCCCTGGATCCGACACACTCCTTGGCAATTAAAGCCTTTCGCAGCGTGAAAACTGAACGTGGGATCAAACCCAGGAAAATTAAAAATGCCCCTCTGAAGGTCCTGGAAAGCAGGAAACCTCATCCCCAACTGCACATCCCAGCACCAGTTCTGGGACTTTCCAGGCTCTGCGTGTTTTCCAGACGTGGCTTTTGAAAACATTTTCACCGCACCAGCTTTTATCAGCTAAAGATGCTGGAGGTTGTTTTTATGTTGCTTTATTTTGTTTGGAGAAAGAGGGAGAGCAGACACAGTAGGCGAGATGAGGATTTAAAGAAAAACAACCCCAACTACAACTTTAAATGTTTTCTCCTTGAATCAAGGACTGCGCCCGGTTTGCCTGTAAGAGAACTGAGCAGATTTATTAGGCAATATAAATAAGAAATAGCAAAAGAGATCAGAATGGAATGACACTGTAACAAGCCAATTCTTAACTAAAAAGACAAGCTAAGCTGCCTGCTAAATTGAAAAGGGGGAAAAAAAAAAAAAAAGGCACCCAGATGCCAGGCTGCAAAAACCAAGAAGCGGCCACAAATCAATAGCAACTGCTTTGTTTAGTGCTAAAATCTGGAACTGCAGTGATTAGAAAACACATTAGTGTTCATCAATTAGCAGCCAAACGTTTGTTTTAATAATTCATGGGCAATGACTTGCGGGTGTGCTGTCAGGAGAGCCCGGGCAGGGCCCAGGGCAGCAGGCGCCACACGGTATCGATGGCCAGGAAGGCTGATTAACCTCTGAGATGCCTCCGCTGATGGACTCACCCCATTACTGCTAATGGAGATACTTCCACTTCAGAATCGAGCCAGGCCTCGAGCACAGCGATGGCTTTTTGGGGTTTAAAGTCTTTAGCAATATCCTGCCATTTGTTTCTGATTATTTCTTTTTATACCCAGCGACGGGCGGAGAGTGGAATAAAACGAGGCAGAGGGATGAGAATTGTGACATAAAGCAGGGACTGAGGGGTGAGGGACAGACTAAAATAGCCACCACGGGGAGGGGGGGCCCAACTCTCCTCCCAAAAACTGACCAGGCAGGTTTTTTTGCACTTAAAATGCCCTAAAACGATTCGTTTGTAGTTTATCCAGCAGGAAGGAGAAATCAGGAAGCGCCACACGGCCAAGTGAAAAAAAGGCCAAAAACTCTAATTGACCTGTTTTAGGAAAATATCTTTACTATTTATACCTCGAGCGCTGGGATGACACAGCGCCAAGGAGAAATTTATAGCTCTCCAGGAAAAAAAACTCAAGTGCTTATCGAGCCAAATGAATTCCTGCCCCCTGGACCAGGAATCCTGAGGAGCAGTGGGTGTGCAGGGATGAGCCCATTAGCCCAGGAATATCAGTGGGAAGCCATTCCAGCACTGACTGCCCCGTGCTGTTGTGTATATTTGCCAAACTTCCCGGGTAATCTTTAACCTTTCCCATGCCATATCAGCTGTCCCTCCATCCATTAGGACTAATGACCTTGCTCTCACATAAGCTGTTAGTCCTCATTAAGGAGTTATCAGGTAACAAGAGAAAACAGATGCAGCCTTTGCTAAATCACTTTACCGTGCAGGGATTAAAAGATATGGAGAAAGAATCAACCAAAGAAGTTATGAGGTGAGAAGGAGTTGGTTTATAATTTGATGCGAGACATGTGACAGACCAAATACATTTTAAATGAAATAGGTTAAAGTTTGCACTGTCCCAGCTCCTCTGTCACTGATGGGAACCTGCCAGTGAAGTTTGCTTATAAATAAAATTAAAATCCTCGATCCAGTTCCTTTTAAGCAACGATGCACATTGTGCAGACACACATATTATTTATAACTCACATCCACCCTATCTACTTAAAAACAGGATTGTTCACGTTCATTTAAATATAAAGAAATACATATATTTAATTAAAATAAATATATGCACTCATATCCCATTTAATTGAAGAATAACTGCAGCTTTAATTAGATGAAAAGAATTAAAAATGCATCATTCGGTGCTTTTTAGGCTCTTTTGTTCCAACAAAGGCCTTGCATCCTTTTAGAGACAACACAATATATTGCTCCTGTTTCTCATAATAAATGCATTTTATATGATTTATTTGCTGTCAAATGAAAAATCTATAGAGAGCAGGAAGATATCAAGAAGATCTGCCTTGGGTGTCAGCACAGTTGAGCCTCACAGTCAGTGTGAACAAAGTAAACATTCAATCAATTACAGATTCAAGCTCAAACTAAATATTTGTGGAAATATTTGGGCTTTGCAAAGAAGTTTCCCTTTCCTCCTCTTGCCCCATGTTCTGAAAAGAGGTAAGATAGGGGATAAAACTGTTAGGAAATTCCTCTTAAACAGAAAATGTGAGCTCCACTTGAACACAGAGTGAGGTGGGACACGGTGGGACCAAAGTTCTCCTCAACAAGACAGGGAGAAAAGAAACAAGAATGGCTTTTCCTAATTCCCCTTCCTTGCTGCATCCAAAATGGATAAATATGGACAATTATAACAAAAAAAATTTCACATTTGGATGCTTATCTCCCACCAAGCACCTGAACATTCTCCCATCAGCAACGCCGTTAGGTAAGAATGGAGTTTGTTCTGAAAGTTAATCTACTTCCATCCTACTCCATCCAGCAGGAGTGAAAAAGAACTTTATCCCATAAGGAACAATATTTTCATTTTTCCAAACACATCATTTTCTATCCTTGATAACAATTAACCTAAATGGGAATCCTGAGACATGTTCTGTTTCCAGAAGTTTTCTGCTGGGTCAAATGATAGACGTTATCAGAGTTTTTAGAATATGAACAGCAAAAAAAGCACCAAAGTGTGGAAAAATCAGAGATAGAGTTTGGGAAGATGTGTGTGTTTTCCTGCAGCAGCAGCAAGCAATGCTCCTGTGAGATGCATTTAAGGAGAAACAGCAAAAAGCTCAATTTTAAAAATAAAATCCTCCTGGAAATCAAATGGGAAGATGACACAAAGGAATTCTTCATAGTGTCACCTGAATAACAAGAGTTCTGGCACCAGTAACAACCCACCCCAACAGGATCACAGTTTTGACCTTGGCATTCTGAGCCAAGAGGGACCTTCTGACTTGATTAGGGAGGGAATTCCTCGAGTGCAGGACACAGCAGGAGCTCCCAGGGAGGACAAAGCCACTGTCACCACCAGGACACATCTCCTCAAAGGGAAAACCATGAAAGTCAATATTCTGTGCTGCCACTGAGAGGATCTCAGAGGCAACTCTCCCAAGTGGCCCTGCTGAAACCCCTCTTTGCTCTCAGCTTTTCCCCTCTTTTATAGGAAGGTCCTTTCACTTCCTTCAGGAAGAGACTGGAACCCAAACAGAGAACAGGCTGGAAGCCAAGGGAACCTGGCAAAACAAGAACTTTCATGGAACCACTTCTGAACCAAAAGGGGGAAAAAAAAGGAGCCCCACTTCCCAAAGAGCTGCTACCTCTGCTGATGAAAGCAAAGGGATGACAAACCACTGCAGGCTGAGAGGACACGGCAGCAGGGGAGGCTCAGAAGTGATGGCTCACATAAGGATGGAGTAAAGCTGGTGGTGAGGCAATGAGATGGACAGAGAGCACCAGATATCTGCCAGCAAGTCAGCACTGGAGTTATCAGAGATGAAAACTCGCTGGATAACAAGCCAAGGCTCAGTGAAATCACTAATAAATTAAACATTTCGGATTTGCAGTTGCGTTATTTGCGGGTAACAAATTAATACACTGAGGCTGAGACAGACTCAAGAGCCAAATGGTGCAAATATTTAAAAGTGTATCAGTATTAATCTTGTCTGTTACAGTAACAGTGAGGAGCACAAGCCATGTGCAAACACCAAGTAGTGCAGACACTGTGCCCTGGGGATTATCCCTTTTCCTGACTCTCACTGCGAGTTTATCTCCGTACAGAGGCGAACAATCTTTTCTTTCCTATGATTATAAACACATTTTATCTTCAGGATCTACTCACATGATGCAATAGCACTACTTCAGTGTGATAAATTCAGTTTAACATCGGAATTTCTGGATTATGCTCCTTGGCTAGTGCAGCTCAGCAGGGAAGGTCATCAGCTGCAGTGATCTGTTTTGGAGGATTTTACCACATCTGATCCAAACTGTGGCTGATCACACTAAGCCAGTCACTTCTTCAAACTTATCTCTGCTATAAAAAGAGATGTTCATGATACTGAGATTGAAGGAGTTTGGGGAGATTTCCCCACACACCTTTTTTTTTTTTTTCCACTCTGCTGATGGTGAAAGTAGACAGAGCTCCAGCAAATCACAGCAGGAGAGGAGCAATTCCAGTTCCCCTCAACTATGTAAAAAACTGTGATTTTTCTCCTCCTCCAGCCACACTGGGATTGTGAGGGAATATGTTTGTTTTTATGTTTTGTTTTTACATGAGCTGGCCTGCCCTGTGTCTCTCTTTGTGGCTTCTTCTAAGTGTTGTTTTCTCCAGTGACACTGAGCCTTCTTGTCCTGTGCTGTCATTTCATTCCTATTATTAGGTTTGTTTTGTTGTGCATATCAGAAATGAAAAGGCTCGTGGTTACAGGGAAAGCTTCTAATCAGCACCGAGTTCACCAGGCAGTGCCAAAACTCACCCTGTGTGTGTCTGTGTGTGAGAAAAAGAAAGCACTTGGCAAAATGTTGGAGCTGGGGGGGAACAGTTAAACAAAAGTTGTGCATACTCTGTCCTGTTTAAGAGTTTTCCAAGCCATGGTCTTCCTTTGGTGTTATGAAACCCCAGATATTTCTCTGAAAAGGGGGATATTATAACATTTGAACCAAGAAAATGAGGCAATGGGACCTATATGTAAACAGTCATTAATAAGCTCTAACCTTCAAAGCAGGTGATTAATTAGCTCCAGGACTGCACTGTCATCCTTCAGAGAGATTAAAATGCACAGTGTGAGTGTGATGGAGCCCAAGAAGCACCAAGCACTTGTAAAGCCACTTTTCATGATGCTAAAAGACTAATAATTCAAAATGTTGATAAACTTGTACCATTACGAGTAGCCATTACACAAACCCATTTTACTGTGACTTCCCCCCTCATAGGAAGAGCTGCTTGCAATAAAGAAAATCCTTAAAAATCAGTTCAGGCCCGGGAATACTTTGTGGAACACTCTGTGGAACACTCTGTGGCTGCTCCCAGATCTGCAGGGTCAGGGAGCACAGGCACAGGGTGCTGATGCTTGCAGGGTTCTCCTGTCTGGGAAGGGAAGGGAAGGGAAGGGGGGTGATGACACACAGCCCAATTCAGCAGGGAAACCTAATAATTATGTTCCCCGAGAAGCTCTCCCCGAGCAGATGATGGACTCACTTTGGCAGCACTAATGACTGTGGCAGTGTAAGACTGGATGTTGTCTCCACAGGCTCCACCACGGGATTGATGGCATCGGATCAGCTACGAGAAGAAAAGACAGCAACCAAGTAACTACTATTAAACTACACAAACCCATAAGCCATTACCAGAGCTCTTATTTATCATGTACAGTGGTGTGTTTTTTTTTTTTTCCCCCTACAAATAGCAGAAAGCCCTGCTGAGACACTTAACCCCTTTTTATAATCTTCTGGGTGCCACCCAGACTGTCGCGTCCTCCGCTCCAGTTTTCAATTACCAGCTGAGTAGTCACTGAGAATTCATAAACTTTTGAAATGGTGGGATTTTTGGTCTGGCAGCAATACCACAAATAAATTTAAATAAATATAATCAAAAGCTTTAGCCGTGTATATGTAACATTAAATATCAGACATTCTAAGAATCCGAGTGTGGCTTTTCCCCCCCCTCCTCTTTAGGAGCAAAGGAGATGACAAAGGAAAAAGAGCTCCTTGAAACTTTACATTTAATAGATTAAAGGAAATGTACACGGGGTTTGCTTTATATTGCCTTCCTGCAAAATTAATAAATCAAAACAAGACTCTTGTACCTGCCATCAGCCTACAAAAGGTTCTGCCTTTGAACCCTAAATAACAACAGAATCTCTGCTTCTGACCAAATAAAATGATAAAAAACTATAGCCATTTGTTGCTTGCACACAGAAAATGTTGCCTGTTTGAGCTAAAGAAAATTTAAAATCACTGTAAGATGGATTTGTTTCTACAGGCTTTTCTGCCTTAAGCATCTAAATAAAAACAGCTAAACTAGAGAGAAAGGGGAAGCCCACAGGGAATTTACCTGGGAACACACAAACCATTTAAATTCCCTTTGTGATGTAATTCTTTTGCAGATCAGCAACTTATATTTTGTCAGCAAAATGCGACTTATTAAATCCCAGGCTGGCTGGTTAAGTTTTACAGCACCAGGCAGGCGTGGCATTGAGGCAAAGGCAGGCCTGGGTTTGGGAAGGAATCAGTTGTGCTGGGAGAGGTGTAACAGCAAATGCATTTCTAAAGTCTGCCCCTGATAATTCCTGGCTCAGCCCTAGAAACAGCTACTCCACTCACACAGGTGGAAGAGAGAAAAAAAATCTGCTTTGAAATAAAAAATAAGGCTTTAGAAGCTGAATTTAGACTTTTCAAACACTCTGAGCTTTAAATATACACCCCTGGCCCAGGGCTGGGTAAAAGGAGTGATCATTTCTTTGCTTGGGATCTGTTTTCTTTGCCTCTAGAAACAAGAACAATTATCTAAATATTTTCTTTTTTTTCCCTGAAGCTTAACATTTTCAACAAAGATGTTCAAAAGTGGGTATTTTGATGTTATTTTCTGCATTGCTGTGTTGTTTCACACAAACTCACCGGCTCTTTCCAGACTCAGCCCCCCCAAAACAGAATTTAGGAACTGTTTTGCCTTCAGAAGTGTCTATAACTAAGTGCTTTAAACTTTTAAAGCACAAAAGGGTTGGTTATTGAGTTACCTCACTGAAAACACACATTGAGGGCTTGTCTTCTCTGCCTCCACATATTTATGCCTTCCAAGTTCATGTGCACAGTAAATATATGATAAATAAAAATACCTATTAGGTCTGTCATTTTAATGCAACTCCTCTTACAGACCTTCCTTTTCACATACCTTTTTCCTGAGACTTTTTCTTTTCTTTTTTCCCCCCTACATATACAAAAAAAATCTAGAATGAAACCCAGAAGTATTTTTTTGCAATTAAACCTTCCCTTACCTTATTTTCTGCATAAGCAAGCCAACGGCTTCCGAGGGCAATAGGATTCATGTTTGGCCCTGGACAAGGATAGCAGCCTGCAAAGTTGGGAAAGGGAACATTAAGAAATATCTTAATGACTTCTCACAAAGAATTCTATTTATTGCCAAGAAAACAAAAAAAGTCTAAACAAACCTCTCTGGGTTGCTAATATCACTCAGTGGATGCTTGCATTTTTGTTCCTCCAGATAAGGCTGTGGTTAGATGAGCTATTCTGAACATTTAATTATGTGTAAATAACGATTTCTCCTTATGTTTGCATTTTTAGTGCCATTTTGATACAGTGGGGTGAGGGGATATTGAAGTTTGACCCGACTGGTTCTGTATCTTCACATTTTAATTCATTTTATTTGATTGCCACTTTTCTGTTGGTGAGCAGTTTGCTCACTTCGAGCTCTTCTAGATTTTTTGTTGTATGAAAGGGTGCAGTGTGCTTTGGGTTTGGTTTTAATAATTCTACACAGAAGCCCTCAGCCTTTCAAAATGCTTTTGGTTTTGATTTTAACAACTTTATATACAAGCCCTCAGCCTCTCACTGTACTTTTGCACACACTTAACTTTACACAGTGAGAGAATTTGTAATTCATTTCAAATCAGCGGCCACCTTTCCATTTTTCACCTGCTTTCCATTACCTTTACACTGGCATTAAAAACAGATACATATACAGATAAAGATCAGAATAAAACAGAGAATTATTCCTGAGGATTAAAAGGTGAAAATATCTATATGAGAAAATAGCTGTGAATGAAAATATGGCAAGGCTTAAAATAAATCAGGCCCATGTTAAACAGCATTTAATGAATAAAGTTTAAAAAATACATGTTTTTAATGAAATTTTATAAATAAGACATTTTTATAAATAAAAATTTTAAAACTAATTTATATTTTAAAACCTACGTTTTTACATTAAAAAAAGGGGGGAGAGCAAATGAGGGAAAGGAGACTATGAAGCAAGTGGTTAATCTCAGTTTTCAATAGCCAACTTAGTAATTTAAATTCTCTCATGGATTGCCCAAGATTTGCTCACAATATTTAAAATCTTATAGACACGTGTGTGTGATTTAAAGGAGCCCTGGGCAGCTGGTCCTGTGTCACATCTGAAGGAGGGTTGGGATCAGGGGAAAACCAGCATTTTAGGAGAACACACATAACACACAACTGAAAAATCCTAAAAAAAAAAATTAAAAATACAACAGACACAGCCAGCTAAGCTTTTATTGCCCCAAAATCTCCTGTATCAGACTCTGACACTGCTCTGCCAAGCACAGGGAGAAAAGGCAAACTGAGCTTCACAAACACTCCCGACTTTGTGAACAGGCCCCAAAAAAGCCCAGAGCGTTTGCTGAGGGAACAGGGCTTTTATAAGCGAAATGGCTTTATTTTCAGTGCTTGCAGAGCAGTGGCAAAGGTGTGTGGGAGGGCGTTATAACAGGTTTAAAGTGACTTTTGACAACGTTTTCGGTGCGTTCCGCCAGGCCCGCGCAGGCCCCGCCGCCGAGATAAACCAGCTCTGCATGTCATCTTTCAGAGCACAGCACTGAGGGCATTGCAAAATCTGAAAGATCATTTCAGAGGTCATAAAGGAAGGGAAGGAGAGAAAGCAGCAATTCATCCAATTAAACCCATCTCGGGCCGGGAAAAGCAAAAACCAAAGCGAATGTTTTGCGAGGCCTCATCACCGCCCCGATCTCAGGAAGGGAAACGGATTCTGAAGAGATGATGCCACAATTGTTATTGCCTTCCAGAAGGGCATAAAATGTGGGCAGCCAGAGCCTCTTAAGGAACAAAGCAAGCAAAAAAAAAAAAAAAAAGGTTGTAAATACAACCCTGGGTTGTAAACACAAACGTGTTCTTCCGATGACATTACGGATCAGGACCGGCGAGGTTTTAATGCCGACTTTTGCCTCAGCAGCTCTGATCTGGGTCAGTAAAGGCATTCAGGTCCCCCCACATCTTTTTGTCTTCCTTTTTACAGATAAAATATAGAACTAAAAGCTGCCAGATGATAACTCTCATCATGTAAATCTCTACATTGACTTTGGAATCAGGGACTTGTGTTTCCCAAACTCTGCAATATCCCCACAGGAGAAAAACTAAAGGAGTCTCAGCAATTCAACAACTCACAGCAAAAAATGAGTCCTGCTTGGAAAAGGGAGCTGTTCTCAAATACTTCAGCGAACTGAAGTAAATGAAGAACTACAAAAAAGCATCCTTCCAATCAAAAATTGATCATGTAATAGAAGAGTTACTTGGGAAAGCTGGGACTGCCCTCCCCAAACCCACTGGTGGTGGTTTGTTCCATGAACTGGGCTCAGTCAATCAGACTCCACACACAAATCAGCCGGTTCTAAGAATAAACTCCACAGAGGTCAACAATTCAGCTCGGTCCTAAACTCTACTCTCCAACACGAAAAACAGCGTAAAAAAAAGAGCTATTTCCTCCCTTTCTTTTCTTTGCAAGTCTCTGCATTTCGGAGAGCGAGCACAAGGGATAAACAAAGGGTTATACTTGATGGGAAGGAAAAGCAAACTGTTTTTCTGCTTTCCAAAAAAACAGCTGGAGTCAGCAGAACATCATCTCCAAGGCAAAGGAAAAGGCAGACACGGCGTGACCCACCAAGCTGGGCCATCCAACCCTCACCAGCCTCACTCTCTTAAAGATTAACTTCTATTTCTACTGGACTTCAAAACAACAGAGGAAAAGGCCATTCTAAGCAGCAACAGCAGCAACTTTGGTGTGTTTACAATAGGAATGAACATAATGAGAATGCAGAACTAACTGTCAAGGAGACCAAAGTTTCCAAGTTTTAATGACAGCATGGAGAGGTCATCCAAGAAAGCATCGCTGAGGGAAAGTCCTTCCAAAAGTGCAGCAAACCAAGCAAGCACTAAAAAACATCTGAGCTTGGAGCAAGCTGTAGTGGGCCTATCACCCCCAAACTATAGGTGAAAACCTACTGGGAGTGACAAGGTTTTGAGCACACGGCCACTCTCTCCCTCTAAATGCACGTGAAAAAAAGAAGTAGAAAACCCGTCATTTGAAAATCAGAATGGAAGTGTAAGTTTTTCTGCTCATTTCATTCAGTTCCTACGGCCAAAAATTCCAACTAGGCAACACTGAGGAGTACAAAACAGGCTCCCTCCAAACGAGGACTTGGCTAAGAGCACCCTGGTACCTCATATCCTGTGCCTTGGTCTTCCCATTTCCAAGACACATGTTTTACCTACACCAAAACAGTATCACAAATAAAATTCTTTAGTGCTACAGTTTCTTAGTTTCTTCCCTTTTTTGAATAACGGAGTTATAAAATGATCATCTGAAATTGGAATATTATGATTAATTGGATTCAAAGATGCTTCTAACATCTCTGCTGCTCTGCTCATTTTATATATTTGGTTTTACTGAGAACACAGGAATGTCAGAAGTTACAATTCTCCAAAGAGCTACACAAATGTTTGCTTAGTGAGTGAGCAAAGAGAAGGTACATTTCTCTTACATTATTTTTCAATTACTACCCTTGTGCTAATTATGAAAATCCCTACCCCCCCTCTGGAAATTCATATCCATAAGCCAACAACAAACCAAATGGCATCTCTCAGGTGTGATGACCATGACACTGGGATGGGATACAGTCAGCAAACACCAGGAATGCTGGGGAAGGCAGGCTCCAAAGGAGGAACTTGTTTAAACCAAAATTATTTACCTTTAATCATCCAAGGGACTCGCTGGATATCACTAAAAATCAGTGAAGCAGTGACATCGTGTATTTTTAAATAAACAGCTCCAAGAACCCACTAAAGCTGTGCTGCTTCTCTAATAATCAATGTGTAATTCTTGCCTGGGCCTTACAAAACACACAGCACTCCACAGGAATGGAATTACACAACTACATCCTCAAGAGCTGCACTCCAGAAAGCAGATCCATGAGGGGGAGCACAGAGAGGGAATATCCAATGAATAACTGCTACAGTGATACTGCTGCAGCAAAAGCATTGTTTATTCCAAGGAAAACAAATCATAAAAGTTGTTTTATCTAATATTTTTTGTTGGTTGTTTTTTGGTTTTGTTGTTTGGGGGGTTTTTTGGTGTTTTTTTTTTAGCAAACCAATTTTTTTGTTTGTTTATAAACTGTATAAAGTAATATTGTTTATAAATTCCTCTGGGTCCCTCCTAGATGAAAGGCCCTGTGTAAATGTTATTCCTCTCACGCTGTCACATACTTTCCAAAACTCTTCTATTGTTCTTGTACTTCCTTCTGTTCAAGCATCACCCATAAAATGGGTGGGAGAAGGAGATGAGCTTTAGGGTCCCTTCCAACCCAAACCATTCCATGATTTTGTGCTGTCCTGGAACAGAAGAACTGAATTCCCTCACACATGATTGTGGAAGTACCACAGATTTATTTTTTTTTAAATTATCATCATCATGATTACTAGCATTCTTACCATTACTAGCATTATTATAGCTATTATTGTTGCTATTATTATTATTTTCACTACAGAGATATTTTTACTACTTCCCTGTCCTCTCTATCAGGGCAGTTTTAAGCATGTGGACTTTGATGATCCCACTGTGTCCCTTCCAGCTCAGATTATTCTATGATTTTACTGTTACTCCAAAGGTCCAAGACCAACCCCAGAGCTTTTACCAAAAATACCCTTAATGTTCCTTAGGCCTGGCTGTTTAATTAGCACAAATTTGCCTGATTTCAGGACAATGTTTAATCTCAGGTTCACTTTTTTTTTTTTGTTCAGAGACTTGGACAGTGATAAATAACAACGTTAGCACTGAGGTTGCTGTTCCTGGGCTGGACAATGTGAGTGAGATGGCTTTGTCTGGCCTTTAACATTAAGGATTTGGGTGCTTTAGATAGAAATAACTTGTCTAGAAACAAACAGCACTTCCTGTTTTACATGTAATTTTTACAACTGTCAAAGCCAGGAGATGTGACAGATTCACATCTCGGGGACTTGATGCAGTTTTTGTGTTTTATTTCTATTTTCCTGCAACGTAACAAAACCTCCTACGAGCAACCAAGTCATTTGTTTCCATAAATCTGCCCTAAAAAACCCCTTCAGAAAGTCTTTCAACATCATCCTGGAATGGTGAGACACTGGTTCCCACAGCCAGGAAGAAACACTCTTATAAATAAAACGCTGTTAAAAAGTAAAAGCAAGATCAAATCAACATTTCTCAGGCAAGGGATATAAAAATGACATGAAGGGTTATGTGTTCATATATATGAGTGTACATAAAGATAAAAAGTGTTTAAATTCACAGGGACACACTCGGCTCCTCTTCACTGATCAAGAAAATACTGTGACTCAGGAGCTGTTCCCCACCTGCCTCCAGGACTTTCCATCTCCCCCACAGACACAGGAATCCTGGCAATGATTATCCCAATTATTCTGTGTGGGATAACCAGGATAAATGCCACTCACTGGGCACAGCTGAGGAGGGAAATGTACACTCAGAACTTCCTCAAGAACGCGACTCTTCAGCCATTAAACCTTTTCATAAGACGTCCAGTGTTTTTCACTTCAAATTAAAGAGCTCCAACTGCTCCCTGGGAGCCCTTCAGGGAAAGGAATTCTACCAGAAATGCCCAAAAAAGATGATTTCCAGACAAACTGAAACCACCTAGTCACTCCTGTGTGAATGTCAGTGCAAACAGCAACACCAAGTCCAAATTAGAGCATCCAACACCCTTTGGTTTGGGGTTTTTCCCTTCCTTGGAGAGGTGCATCCAACATCCACCCAATAACTTCAGGCCTGTGGTTGGGTGAGCCTTTGGAGACCCTTCCACACAGTGAAGTACTCTGACTAAAATCTGGAAAATTACCTCTCAGGGCTCTAAGTAGCATCAATAGAAATGTGGTGCCAGCTAATGGCTGCAATAACTGTCTCCATCCCTGGGGAATGATGGATGGAGGATTTATCAATATGAGGAGTGGAAGGGCAGGAGAACCTGAGCAGGCTCTCGTTATCAGCCCCAGAGATGATGCCACATGCATGATGTTATCTGTGCTCATCTTTAGCCAGGGCCCAGGGGGTGGGAAGGATATTCTTCGTGGAGAAGAAAGTATCCATCATAACCATCAGCGCTCACTCAGTAAGCAGTTTTGGAGATGGGTTGAGGGAGCACTGATGGAAGAGAAATCAATGAAATTCAGCTTTTCTGCAGCTATTGTTCAGAGCAAAGGAGGGGGGAGGAAGCCTCTACATCACTCTGGTTTCTGATCACGTGCAGAGTTCAGAAAAGGCTCTGAAACGAGCCACGGTAAAACCCTTAATTATTAAAAAAAATCTATTTTAAATCCACACCTTGACACTCACAACTAGGAAAGGCAACACTTTCTGATCATAAGCATCAAATGAATTTCTTTTTTAGTTTGGCCACGTGAGCACTTAAAACAGGGCAGGATGTGAAGTTACTGCTTGGCTTTATCCTCCCCTTGAAGCAAGGCCTTTCCTAGGGAAAAGGAGCTGGGAGAACAGTGATGGATGGAAGTCACTGCCACAGGCTCTCTGCAGACCCATGCTCTGCCTTCCCATTTAAAAATCACAACACCCCACAGGGTAGATTATGGGATATCCTGGTCATTTTTCCACAATGGCTCCAGTATGTTTTTCCCTCCACCTTTAAGCACCTGCCTTAAATCCCCTCAGCCAAGGCTGGAGCACCTGTACCCCGAGGTTCTGTTACAAAAGGCACAAATAAAACCTGCTGGCTCTCAGCCAGCCCGGTCAAATCAGCTCATTTCCATCTAATCCCATGCAGAGGGGAAAAGAAAGGTTAGTACTATGTCAAATTTGCTCCAGAAAAAAAAGCAGGAAATGCAGGAGCTAAACATTCCAACAGCAGCACGAACTCGCCCATGTTCTACATCCTGAATATTTTATGGTGTATTTATTGTAACAATATATTAAGCTACACATTCAACCACAAAAAAAAGCCAAAAAACAGAAAGACAAACACTCCTCACGTGCAAGGCAGCTGCATTAGCATTTCTGAGGGACTTCAGAATTCCTGACACTGCTTTTAATTGTACCTTCTGCATTTGATTTCTGTGTGTAGCCAACAAAACAGAGCAGAGCTTCTGCTGGATGTTTGCCTTTGAGCTGCCTCAGGGAGGTTCCAAGGCTCCCACACCATGGGGTTGGTTCTGATGGAAGATGTGATTTCCACATCACAACTAAACTGGCTTCAAAAATAAGACTTTTTTTTCCTACAGTGGTTTAAACCGTAAAAAAAAAAGTCTTCAGAGAGCCAGTGATCCTCATTAATATTTTTGACCTTTTAGGACCAAAAGCAGTCAAATATCACAGCTGAGAATCCTCTTCATGCTGAGGAATTCCCTGGGCAGGCGGTGACATTGTCACAGCCACTGTCCAGCTGAGGTGACCAGGGTGATCCAGATGCTCCTCAGGCTGTCCTGAGGAGCAGGGATGCTCCAAGAATAGCAACAAAGAGTTGAAAAGACCTTTTCCTGAGCTTCCTATTCAGGGATTTCTATTTTTTCAATTTAAACTGGCACTGTCTCGTAATAATTTTTTTTTTTTTTACAAAGGCAGCAAGAGAGCCCAGTTGTGGCCAGTTGGCTGCCTCCCAAAAATCCCTGCAGCTCATTTACATCCCATTCCAAGCCCAGCACAGTAACTTAAGCCTTTAAAGATCCACTCTCAGGTGGAGGAGATTTCAGCACATGAAATGGGGAAAGCTCAGACAAAAGCTTTGCTGCAGCCCCGGCGTGTTGGGGCACGACACCCACCCTGGGAAACCAGGGAGCTGCAGAACCCTGGGCACAGCTCCCAGAAACCCAGTTATCCAGGGAAAAAGCACCTGGATTTGCCCACTCAGTGAGGCACAGGCCACTGTCGAGCTGAGAGGGGCTGGGATGGTCCAAAACACCCCAAAAATTAGGGTGTTCTTAATCAAATTTGGGACCCCAGAAATGTAACAGTTAGAGAAAACCTTGAGTTTCTCATATTAAAAATGCAGCACATCTTGAGAAATACACTGTGATTAGGGACAGCTCGGGAGGTTGGGATTTTTCAACTCATTTGCTCTTTATCTCCCAAAGTTTTATTTCGTCCTCTTTAAGTTCCGCTGCTGTTCCATTAAAAATGCACTGCAAATCAAAGTCGGGGGAAGGAATAGGATTACCCTGTTCCTCAAAATACAGGTCAGTGAATTAATGTCTAAAAACAACTGCAGTATCTTTGAAAAAAAAAAAATCCACAATAAATTAACTGGAATAAAAATAGTACCAAAATTCTCAAAATACACATTTAACTGAGGGTTTGGTTTTTTTTTTTTACTTTTGATCTAAAATAAAGCAAGGCTGGTACCCTAATTCTCATTCCAAGAGGAGTAAGGAATAGAAGGACACAAATAAGTCTTTTCCCACTTGGTTCCTGTCACTGAACCCCAGCAGATTTCCAGGATTTTCCATCCATGGATAGGAAGAACCTGACACCTATTGGCAACTTTAATATTACTGCAGAAAGCTGCTTTCCCTCAAACTATCCCAAGAAACAGCTTCTCCCAATGAGATTTTCCTATAAATGCACAGATAACACAAAAGATAATTTAGAACTTTTCCAATTGTGACTGAAAATACGTCCAGAAAAATTCACACTCTCCTTTGGAATAATAAAACTCTGACCTTCCCAAATAAATCATGAGCTGCTGGAACTTTGGGGCCTGGTAAAATAAGGACACATTAAAAAAAACCCACAATGTACCTGAGGCTAAAGAACAACCAAAAATGAACAGTGGGCAGATCACTGTGGATGTGGCTTTAATTGCTGCTTATGTGGATAATCTGAAATTCCAGTCCTGAGGCTTTTACATGTATTTGTACAGAATGAACAAAAGAATTCCTCAGCTACTTCTGGATGTCAATGTGCTAAATTGATAATTAATAATCTACAACAGTGAGAAATTAGTCACAGCAATAATAAATATAGAAGGGAGACGAGGATTCAAAGAGTAACATTTTGGGGGCTTCTGGAGCAGGAGATTTCCTGCAAGTCCAAAGGAAGACATGGAGACCTGCCTTGAGGATTCAGAAATAAAACAAAGCACAGGACAATAGAAAAAAAAAAAGAAAGCTTTGGGTTTTTTTACATACTGGTAACGAAGAACTTTTTGGTGAAGGTGCAGCTGTCAAAGGCAGCGATTTTCTCCTGCAGGACCACGACCAGGATCCTGCAAACACAGAAAGGGGAACACGTGCTTCAGGCATTAAATGCATGGGCTTAAAGATTCAATATCTAAATGTAATTATTTCAAAAGCATCGATAGAAACTCTGCAGTGATGAAGTGCCACGTTACCCACCCCTGGCAGTTATTGAGGGTTCTCTCCCCTCCCGACCACACGACCTTCACTTCAGGAAGCACAACAGATCTGATGCCCAGCAACACATTTATGATCTGCCTCCTGCAGTAAAAGCTCCATTAAAAACAAAGGATGGGATTGCAAAAAAAAAAAAAACCCTGAATTACTTTCACTGACTCAAATAACAATCAAATCAACGACGGGCAGAACAGGAGCTAAATTTGAAATAATCCCATTGCCCGTCTCGCTGTGAAGTTATTAAACCATTTCATTTACTAAGAGCAGGGGAGGGTTTAATACCAAGAACATCAGCACACAAACACAGCTGAGAGAAGCAGAACTTGTGTCAATAAGCAAAATTACAGATGTATGTTTATGTATTTGCTTGTACATGACACACTTTTGTTGTAAAATACCTGCTCATCACCAGAACTAAAGAGCAAAAACTATGCAGGGAACACTTTGCTGCCTAAAAAATTGAGGCCAAAGATGCAGATGTGGAAGCTTTATAACCAGGATACACCTTCTCCCACACTGAGAACTTCCCCAAAGCAAGTTTTTAAACTCTTGTATGACAGGCTGGAATAAACCACGTCTTATTCTTGCTTATTTGTATTATCCACCTGCCTTGGTGAAGGACCATCAGTTCTGGCAGCAAAGGGGTATTTCCAAAGCAAAGCAGGAATTTCTTCCCTCAGTGCCCTCCCTTTAAGCCAGGGATGTGATTGCACCACGTCCAGGGGGACCTGAGGACAGGCAGGGACCAACCCAGGAACACGGAGCGAGAGGAGCACCAACGTCAGCACCACGGGCTGGGAGCAGAGTCCCTGCCCCAAATCCTCCCACCAGCAGTGCCAAGGGATCAGCCAGATCCTCCCACAGGCATCCTGGGACTCCTCTTCTGCCTTAAAAACTACAAGGAGGTTCAGTTTTGTGCGTGTCTGGCAGAGATGTGAATTTAAAATTAACTCAGAAAAAAACCCGGACTCGTGATTCCGTGAGCACGAGAGATTCTGTCTGAGCTCTGGGATCCTCAGCCTGCAGAGCTGTTTTCTCTCCACCCCAACTGAGAGATGCAGCTTTATTATTTGACTCACTGGAACATCATTCCCTGCAAACCACAGGCTGCACACCAGGAATGCTTTGGGCAGGAAGGCAGAGTCTGACACAACGAGGGAGCACAAAGGAGAGGGACATAAACCCCTTAGTGCTGGTTAAACTCTCCATGATCCCATTTCTCCAGCTGTAGGTGGATGATCAAGGATTTCAATGATTCCTGCTCACCCTGAAAGGAGCTTAAATGATTTCAGATGCAAAATGGTCTGAGCTCCTTAAACAAAAGCCATTGGGGAAGCACATTGGGAGATCCCAGCTGAAATATTCCACGAGAAATGCAGAACCAAAGCTGTGCTTGCAGGAAAGACAGAATAATTGTATTTATTATTGAAATTTTCCATGCCCTAACACAGAAGCAATGCAGAGTAACCCCCTCCTTACCTCTTGTTGCAGTGGAGGTCATAAATGGGAGTTTTGAACTGGATGGACTTGACCATCTCTCCTGTTCTCAGGGAATACAGATCCACACAGCAGTAGGGAGGGCTGGTGCTGAAAGGAATTAAAAAAAAAAAAAAGAGATTTTAATGGAAATAAGGGTATTTTAAAAATTGCTTTTTAATTATTTCAGCCTCCTTATATTGCTGAGCACGCTGAAGGAAAAAAAAAAATCACAGAGTCATTAAACTTGGAAAAGACCTCCAAGACCATCAAGTCCAACCCTTGACCCAAGGTTGGACTCGTAATTCCAGCAATCCAAGGAGAAATGCTGGAGAACAAAGGGTCAGTATAAGCCTTCTACAGAGGGAAGGTCTGCTGAAAACTGAATTATGATCTCCACGATGGTCACGAACCTTTATTGTGCAACCACTGATCAAACACATGATTTCTCCTGCCACAAGGAAGACTTGGGAACAGCAGCAAAATACAAGCCAGGAAATTTTAGAGGACATTCCAGTTAAAAACTACTCCAGAGAGCAACACTGTCCTCCAGGGAGGAATTCCTTCACCCACATGGCTTGGTTTGATAGGGGCACATCACCCAGAAGTCACATCACATCACTGACGGCCTCGTCTCTTGAGCCACACAGATCTTTTCAACTGCTCTGCGTCACTTTTATCATTTCAATATAAATAAAACTCTCTCCAGGCCATTTCTTAATAAAAAGGCTGAGTGGGAGAAAGTGCTGAGTGCTCCGATAGGGCCGGGGAAGGCAGTGGTGGAAACCATTTTCCAGGCTGAGCAGAGGCTTTGATGTGGCAGTTCTGTTCCACAACACCTTCTTCCCCCTCCAGGAACACATTAAAATGTTGGCTCCTCCTGGGTCAAGGAACAGGAGGGAGCATGAGCTGCCAGCTGTGCAAACATCTCCTGAGCATTGGTAAAAAGAGGGTGTTTCCCCTTGCCCAGATCTGCTTTATTTTACAGAGTTTAACACAATTCCTGCCACGACACCCTCGGAGCTGCCCGAGAACATCCAGGAGGGCTGGGGCACAAATGCCAACTGTTTGTGCCTCCAGATCATGAACTGGTTCATCCAGCAATGGGTGACACCCAGGACATGTATAGAAACACAACTGGCACAGAAATAAGAGGAAAAAAGTAAGTCTTGACATTTTGCCTACTTCAATTCTTCCCAAAATATACATTTTTCTAGGCACATACCCGGGCTAAGGACTAGAGGGTGCTATTTATTACTTCCAGCATTTCAAAGGCTCTTCAAAAACACTTTTAAAACAGTGAAACAGTCTAATTCCTTCACATTAAAGTTCATTGCTGCTCAAAACCACAAAAAACTTCTTTAATTAAAGTACTTTGTTACCTACAGCAAATGGTGACGTTGCTAGAAGGGCACACAGACCCTGATTTCAAATCAGGAATCACCGAAGTTGATACAGATAGAATTCTCTCAGCAGAATTGATTAAAATCACTATTTCCACATCAGCCTGTGCTGAACAGTTCCATTTTTCCAAGTTGTGGGTGATAATCCTGTCGCTCAAATGATAATAATAATTATTATTTTGTCACACCTTTCCTTTGGCTGATCATGGCAAGACCCTCCTACCAATGGGTTTTTCAACCACACTGGGTAAAAAACAGTAAGAGAGTTCAAGTGTCAACAATTATCATGGAATCACAGAATTCCAGAAGGGTTTGGGTTGGAAGGGCTTTAAAAACTCATCCAGTTCCACCCCCTGCCACGGGCAGGGACACATCCCACAGGGTGCTCCAAACCCTGTCCAAGCTGGCCTGGGACATGAAGTATGGACAGGTCAGCGCTCTGAAAGGGAAGAAAAGCAAAACAAAACCAGAGGACAGAGTTAATTAATTGTATATTGGGAAAAACCCAGCCTGAACCTTTCCACGGGGAAGCTGAAGCACGATTCGATTGTGATCTTTGGAGTAATATTATTAATATGTTGAGACCACAAAGGCAATGCTGTTCTCCTCAAGGGCCCTGAAAGTTTGCTCAGATTAACAGATTTCAAGACCAGAAGGACCATCTTCTCTTTCCAGGCCACGCACAGAACGTCCCAGAAGCTCAAAGAAATGATTCTTTACCAAGCAACCCAATCTTGTCTGAAAAGACTTTGACCAACAATGGGGCCTCTATTTTTATGGTGAGTTGTTCCAACATTTAGATCGTTTCATTTTTATGAAATCACTTCTCAGTGCAAGACAGAATTTGTACATATTCTGCTTTTTGGCCTCTGTGTCTCTGTCAACAACACAGAAAAGCTCATTGCATTCACTTATCTTTTGTGTAAGTCACTAATAACCCAGAGCAATCCAGGCAATAACTAATAGAGTGAAAAGGACTTTTAAGCCTGAAGTTGTAAGGTTTGTTTTCCAGCCCTAGTCCTCCTCTGAGCCCTCATCAGTACTGCAATTCTCAACTTCTTTCTGAAGGATGCACACCAGAATGAAAACTTAAAAAAAAATAAATAAATTCAACTATTCATTCCTTAAACACCACTGCAGAAAAAGCTTTCACTGGGACTTTCATTATCTAATGGGCTCTCTGCATCCCACCCTCGCACAACAAAAGCTTGAAAACTCCACTCTGTAAGTAATTTTCTAATTCATGGTACTTAACAGATTCATTCCAAACCAGGAAAAGCAGGGGAAGATTTCTGAGAAAGTGCCACTTCCCCCAAAATGTGTGTGCACCAGAGAAATACAAAGCAGCAGAGACATTTTAAGTGCACCACAAATTTGCAGAAAAGCATGGGAACACTTATTTCTAAATAAGAAAAACCTGTACCAACCTTAGACACATGTTACTAAAATCTAATCCTTTAAATACAAGGCAGGGAATTATTCGATACAGCACTAAAATATTTGTGCTAAATACCAAGAGACACAAACATCACTGTTGCATCTCCCTCAAACTTTCTGATCAACTCTGTCAGCCCAGGAAAAAAAGTTCCACTTTATCCTTTACTTCACCATTTTCATCATCTCATGGGCACATAACAGAGAGGATTGTGCACATATTGGTGTTATACCCAATTGCTTTTATACTCAATTTACAAACCTGCACTGGTTGCCTTTGGTCATTCTACAAACACACACAAAACTGGAGAGATTTCTGTAAATGTCTGAGAACACAGATTAACTTCAGAGCAGAACCCAGCTGCATTTATCACACCTCTACTAAAGGTTAACATTTCTATGATCAGCTGCATGATTTCTATGATTAAGCTGCAATCTGGCAGACGTTTCCCCCAAAACCACAAAATTAAGTAAATTTAAAGAGTTGTCTTGCCCTTCTTTATTGTCAAACGCAGCAGAATTCACCACTGAAATAAATGCAGTGAACGAAATGAAGTCATTTGTACTGCCAAAACAGCCACAAAGATCCTCCAAGATCATCCAAGATGGCCCAAAACCAACAGTGTAGCAATCTTTGCAGATCAACAGCCAGATGTCACAGCTTAATAGGAAAAGATCAGAATTCTGGGGGCACAACTCTGAGGGCAAACTGAGGGTGGAACAGCTCAGCTCCAGCCCAATCTCACCAAGCAGAGAATCCTGTGGAACCACAGCCAGGCCCAGACTTTATAAACTGCCAGTACTTCCAACACTCCAAATCAACACCAAAGCTTTTTTTTTTTTGCTCTGTTTTCAGGCACTTTAATGGACAGTATTTTCTGATCAGAAGACAGGACAGGTAATACAGAGGGCAGCTGATTAACACAGCACATCCCCAATTAATTGTGTGTATTTGAGGCCTGTTCCTCTGCAGCCCACGGACACTGAAGGCTTGTCTGTGGGGGGAATACTCAACAACCTGCTACTGTTAACACGGCAAAAGCACTCTGAGGGACCAAACATCCCATCCTGTCGGTTCTTGTAACAGATTTCTCCGGGTTTCGGGTTTGCTTTTCCCTTCCTGTGCTTTCCCCCTGTGATTCATGGGGCTGACAGGCCCGTTGGCATCTCCTGCCCTCACCTGCCATCACCCCCAACAAAGGCCACGCTAAGCCGGCGGCTCCACAGCGCCGTCCCCAAGCCCGCACCAACCACTTTGGGGATTCAACATTAAGCACAAAACCCTTGTCCCGACCTGTTCCATCTAAAATATGTTTGCCCTTGGTGTCCTTAACGGCCCAGGGAACTCCTGGGGTTGTGCAACACTTCATCACCTCGGAATTAAGCGGCCTCTGCCTCGGGTTGCAGGAGAGGGATCATGAGAAGGGATCTGTCAGCTGCTGAGGGCTCTGCTAAACCTTAATTGTTTCGATGCTAGTATATGGCTCAAATTACAACTCTGGAGTAGCTTGAAAACAATCCCATCTCCAAGAAATAATGAGAGGGTTTTAGGGTGCGTATGAACCAAAGCTGAGCAGGAATGAGCTCAGATCTGATGGGTAAAGCACAAAAGTGCCGTGAACAACAAAGCTCCGAGGTTCTGGTCACACCAGGTAGGTCCAATTTTCCCCAAGTGCCCATTAATTACATGTTCTTATGTCTTGCTTTGCTTTATGACTCCACACAGACCATGTTTGACAGAATTCTCACCGTAAATGAACTCACCGAAAGCTCTGACATTATGAAATGATACCTGAATATAATTCCTCTGAACACGGAGCCCCATGGGCAGCAAAAGGAATCTCCTGCTTTTCCTTAAACTGCTCCTAAAGCTGAAATCCTCCACAAATCGCTTAACACCAAAGAAAGCATCAGTTTGTGTTGCAGCCTTTCTCTCGGTGAAGCCACATCCTTTCCTGGAGAACTTTTCATTAAATTTGGAGTAATTTAATAGTTAAATGCGGCTGATGTTCCCAGGAGGAATTACAGCTGCCAGGGAAAGGCACACAGAAATACCACATTGACAGTCACCCAACAGAGTGATGCTGAAATGTCAGATACACTCATTCAAACTGTGCAGGCAAAACTGATTGAAACATTCAGTATTATTTTGTTAATGCCTCCTCTGCAAAATAGGATCATTGTACAGCACAAATATTCTATTAATAACTTAAATCACAATTCCTTTTAAAATCAAGTTCATGAGCAACCACCCAAAAATGCACAAGGGGTCTC